TGAAGGGATTGTGGATGTGAAGCACTATTACTTGAAAAACACATTTATTCCATTCCTAGTAAAGCATGGGATACTGGTAACACTTTTGGATGTAGGAGGAAATCTACCACCAGTCATTCCGGGAATTGGAGGTGCTACATCCACGGCAGTGACACGCTGGTGTAGCAGAAATGCCTCTGCAATGGACCAAGGCCGATGGATCTGGGTCTGAGCTCTTCGGAGATGAGCCCCAGGCAGTTCCCAGGCAATCAGCTGTAGTAATGATGCCAGAAGAATTGTCTCAATGCCGATCTCCACCTTGGCGCCGATGGAGTCTTTTCCTCCTTGTCTGTCCTGTGTCTTTTTCTTACCCTGCCAGCAGTCTGCACTAAGCAATCAGGGAATTACCTAGAGCCCCTACCTTATACGGGAAAGTATGATGAATTTGGGATTAGATGGGTTAAGCAGGCCTCCCTGGTGTTTACTAAACAAGGAAGAAAGAAAAGAACAGTTAAAAAACATGAAGCCAGCTTCAAAGTGCCACTGTATGAAGCATGCTTCTCGGGGGAAAGGGACCCTGGCCCTTGAGGTCAAGAAGATGCCCATATTCTGAAAAACAGGAAATGTGCCGAGATGTGGTTGGTGGTGTGAGACAGATTTCAGAAGAACTCTTAGATCATGTCTTTGAGCAATGACCGCAATCTGATACTTAGAATAGATCATCTATAAGCAATTGTGCTGTTTCTTTTGTTTTTATCTTATGATCTGATGATGTAGGCCCCTGCCAAGTTTCTTGATTGCGAAACTATATAAACCTTGCCTGAGCCGAAGTAAAGTTGCAGCAGCATATTCAACTTCATTGAGTGTGTCTGTCTGTCATTTCCTCGCCGATTCCTGATTTCTCCTTTAGCCTTCACCCCTGTTCTCCCTTGGTCGGTGGTCTCCACGAGAGGCGGTCCGTGGCATGGAGGGAGATTGGTTCCAGGACCTACTGAAACCCACAGGTGCTCAAGCCCCTTGTGGCAGATGGTATAGTGTGTGTGTAAACACTATGTGAAGCCTCCTGAACACTGCAGACCCTATGTCTTGTATAGATTCCCGAATACTTTAAATTGGCACGGCATCACTTAGGACACTTAACAAAACCTAAGTGTCTATAAATGAGCACTCAAGGCTGGGTCACATCCAAAGTGATAACATGAGGAAAATGTACTCATATTCTACAGACACCCTTTTTAAAATGCTCTTGATCCACTGATTATTGAATTCATTATTGTCATTGATTCATTAATGTTCAACACACTGATACTAAAGACCTACTGCACATAAAACAAGGTCTTGTCTAGGGAAATATTATTTAAATGATTATTATGATAATGGTAGGTACTATTGTTTTTTATTACGTGAACTATTTATATGACCATTTGAGGAGAAGACCCTGGGAGTCAGCTAGGCAGGACTCAAGTGTTGTGTTGCCCACTACTGCCATGGCAGTCTCTTGACAGCAAGTGTCACAACGAGGATGACTAAAAAGTGGATCCCCTTCCAGACACACTGGGCAGCTCTCTCCTTTGCCTGCAGATGGTGGCTGTGCTGTGTTGGACACAATGCTGGGGGAAATTTACAATGAGCAGGACCCATCGACAACTGAAAATTATTAATCAGCTGGGTTGAACTTGATAAATGGGAATCAAAGAGATAAAAATGGTGGCTGATTAAAGAGAAGTAGTCAAAAGAAGAGCTAACGGCTTCCATAGGAGCAGCAGCTCATGCAAATGAGCCAACTAAACGCTCGATTAGAGAAAACTTTCCTACCAGCGTTGACTTTCTGTTGCTCAAGGCTCACCTTTTATCCTCAAATGATTCTTTTTTAAGGACTTTTTCAAATGGCTAGAGTGTCAAAAATGAGTCTCCCTCCCCTTCTCCATTCCTTTCTTCTTTTCATTCCTCCCTATAACGCAATCCTAAACAAACTAAAGTTCCATGAGTCTAAATGAATACACAAGTTTTTAAAAGTGTTCTTTTAAAGAAGATACCCGAATCCTTTAAAATTGTAAGCACTTCAAAGCCTGTGTTACTGGCTCGTCCGTGTCCTCCCCTCGGGGACTGTCACTAGGGTGCAGGACTTCGAGTGCACCCTTCTTAGTCGCTGCTTAGGGCTTTCCCAGGAGTATTGGCCATTTACCAAGAACGCGAAAGTGCTTTTCTGAGACTTCAGGAAGCACTCAAATGCCATCAAAGAGGAGAGACTAATGGAACAGTTACAGCCCACTTTGAATCTTTGTATCGTCTATGATTCCTAAGATGTGAGCCATCCCCAAGATCCCAGAGTGCTCCTTACCAGTCTTGAGTGCGTTCATTACTCCATCTGTGCCACCGACATGGACTTGGGCGTCCTTAGTGACTCACACACATCTCCCTACGCTGTGAGGTACAGACATGGTGTTTTCCCATTGTCTGACTAACACAGCTGATTCTTATCAACACCGTGTAACTAATGGTCACACCATCAGACCAAATCACTGCTTTAAAAGTATCTTTTTAGGGGTTCCCCAGATTTAGAATGTATACCCCAGCATCAACTGGAGCTCAGTTTTCCCATAGGAAATGCGCCAATAAAATGACCTTGAGTCTTTATTAAGTCTCTAAAATAGCCCTTTTACTACACACCTCAATATTTTTAAAAACATCTTGTATGGTCACAGTGTCAGCTACTAACGGTATTGTCTATTGACATCATCCACGTATGAATAATCCCTTTCTCCGACTTAATTGCTTAGTGTCACTTGCACCTTGATTGGGAACAGTGTAGACTGAGCTGAACTTTCAAATGCTGGCACAATGGCCAACTGTGGTGCTTTGATCTCCTAAGCACATCCAGCAGCTGGCGGGTCCACTAAACAACACCCACACAACTTGCGTATGGGGTTGGACTTCAGCATTTTCATTTTAATTAAGGTGCTATATTAAATATAGTAAAACGACCCCCAAGGAGTGGAGAAAGAGCTTTTCCCCTTCTGAGTTGAGCTTTAGTATTTTTGGTTCGTTTAATTAAATTCAATGTAATGAACAGTGAGTTGAAGCTTGCATACACAAAGAGCATCCATCAGCATATATGTTTCCTAATGCACATAAATATTCAGTCTGTATGTCTCATATATATATATATATATATGCTGCTATCAGGGACACAAAGTGCTTGAGATCTGTGGTACAGCAAACATTTTAACATGATATAAAAATTTCGACCATAAGCAATTGAAGGCTTTGTTTATGTCACAATTTTGTTATTCTGCAATTCTTAAAACAGAGTGTGTGTGGTTTAGAGAGATGGTCCAGAGAACATCTCATCACAGGGTAGTAGGGCTGTATTCATTAAGAACAAATAATACAATGTAGTATTATGTCATAACAAAATATAGTAGGTATTTGCCTCTAATAAATATTACTCTTATGAGAGTCCTAATAATACCAGAAGCTATTTGAAAAAAGAAATTGTCTCTTTCTACTTTTATATTTCTGTTACCCATGCTACTTTCAAAGTAAGTTTATTCAATGGATATAAGTTTGTGCCATACAGGAAAATGACCCAGAAAGCCTTAGTCAAAGGCTGCAAAATATTCACATGCTAAATGACATTCATTAGATTTACCCAATGTACATTAAGATTATCAATCTCTAACAGCTGGTAATATCAAAATATCCAAGGGGGCCCCAAGAGTCAAACACACTAGCATACTGACTTTATAAAACTATAAAAGTTTAATTTGGTAGGACCAGAAGCAACTGATTAGCCTAATTCCCACACCCTGCTTTCTGAATTTATAATTCTGACTTTATAATTCCCACACCCTCTGCAGGGTAAAATAAGAGCTCCTGTTCACAGAGGGTTAGAAGATGGGGAACTCTAACCAGAAATCAGAGGCACCAGTTTCTGTATCACCGCGAGAATCCGTTTAGGAGCTTATTTTCAAGTGGCTGTTCCTAAGGCTGGCTCTGGGCAAAACCGGGAATCCAAAGGCACAGCAAGACAAGAAGGTTGCTCTTGAACCTCCCACCCCCACTCTCTCTCACCCCCACTGGCTGTCTCAGAACTCGCCCTGTAGACCAGGTTGATCTAAAATTCAGAGATCCACCCGCCTCTGCCTCCCAAGTGCTGGATTACAGTACTAGGAGTTTTCAGGATTGTTTATATCTGGGCCCCAGGTGATGGATCAGGGTGGATCCCCAGGCTGGTTCAGGAGGCAGGTGCATTGGAAGCCATGACAGGGGACAGAGGGAGGTTATTGGGGGCAGGTAAGGGTAGAATTGGGTTTCTGGAGCCATTGTGGAGTGAGGGAGGCAGCAGGTCTCGGGTACAGCACTCTAAGCATGGCATAGAAGAGAGTCTGGGGTGAAGGTTTAACACCTCAAGGCAGCATCTGTAAAGTAGCTCGTGAAGGGAATTCAGGAAATCACGGAAAGGATGAGGCTTATGGGATTTGTTGCCATGGAAGCGTGGGAAGCATGGCCAGAACACTGCCGCGAGGGAAGCAGACTACAGTGAAAGGATCTGGGAACAGGGAAGTTGAGGGGACTGCAGATTTCAGGGGTAAAGTAAGGCATGCATGCCTAGAGATGCGAAGCCAGCAAGAACGCGACCAAGGGTGGGTGCACTCCAAATATGGCTTAGGAAGAACCAAAATGTTCACATTTTGGACTTTTAATCCATAACCCATCTTTTTTCAGGCACCAGTGAAGGAATTTCAGCTCACTGGATGTGATGCTTAAGAGCAAATATTTGTAGTGATAAGTGAGCTCCATGGCTGTTACTAGGACAGTCACTAAAGGCAGCTTGTTTATGATAATAAAAATTCCATATACCGACAACAACAAAAGGACCCGGATGGGCCGGTGGCCGCCAGGGCACGACCGCTGCACCGGGGCCGGCCCGCCGCTACCTCAGCGTCGCTCGGCTCACGGATGAGGACTGTTCTTGTTCTTCACCTGAGCTGAAGAAACTCTGCACTTTATTTCCCATCTCTGCCATCAGGCCCGCTTGAAGAGAGACTTCTGAGATCTCAGCTATAAAGATACCCAGCCAAAGTCTCAATCTTGCCTTAATGATGTTTCAGAGACTGAACAAAATGTTTGTGGGTGAAGTCACTTCTTCTCCCAACCAAGAGCCAGAATTTAGTGAGAAAGAAGATGACGAATGGATCCTTGTTGACTTCATAGACACGTGCACTGGCTTCTCAGCAGAGGAAGAGGAGGAGGAAGATGATGACATCAGCGAAGAGTCTCCACAGAGCACAGCAGGTGGATTAACCGCTGTCAAGGTGGAGACGAGCCCTATGGAAAACCTTCTCATTGAACATCCCAGCATGTCTGTCTACGCTGTGCACAGTTCCTGTCCCGGGCTCAGCGAGGCCAGCTGTGTCCACGATGACTACAACCCCAGCATCCCCAGGGTGGGAGCCCAGAGTGACATGGGGGAACACATTCACTGCTATGTCACCACCCTCACTGCTCAGGCAACGTTTCTGGAACAACCTAAGAGCTTCCGCCCTTCCCAGTGGATAAAGGGACACAGTGAAAGACAGTCTCTGAACAGAAATGGCCTTCGTCGCCAAAACCTTACCAGGGATTGCCACACTCGACAAATGAAGCATGGTGACTGGGTAGTTCACCAGCCCTGCCCACGCCAGTACAATTACTGAGGACGCTGAGTTCTGGTTGGTTTCCTGGGTTTGTGCCTATGTATGTGGATGTGTGCATACAATGAGATGTTTCTCCTTCTAGTCAACTGAAGACCAATCACCTAGTGTGTCAGTGTCTAGACACTATCACAACAAGATTTTTGTGCTGTGTATCACATAATGCCTTGCTCCTGACAGTTTCTTAAAAAAACAATTCCATATACCGTAGCACCATGAATCCTCTCTCTCTCTCTCTCTCTCTCTCTCTCTCTTGACTGACCCTTGCACATGCTAAGCCATTAGTCTACAACTGGGCAACACCTTCAACAAAACCATGGCATCAGGATGAATGTCTCAGGAGGAGAACACAGTTCTTTTTGTAATATGTTCTGTACCGGTGTCTTCTGTTGAGCAGCAATATTCTAGGCCTCACTTGTTCTTAACAAAGAAACTATCGCTATTTTCACATTGCGATGTCTAATGATCGCTCCTTTCCGGTGACAATTCTAGAAAGAGTCTGTGATTGTCCTGTGGAGATGAAAGGAGATGAGAGGTGGAATGGAAAAGGATGCTGAGGTCAAAGACTAAACACGGCAGGGGAATCAACAGGCCACAGCACATCACGGTTGCTGCGGACTATCAGTCTCGCTAGCATCCAGAATGGAGACAGCACAGAAAGTCTTTGTATTATCTGGGGAGATGAGAGTTTCAGAAGGGATGGCTGGGAATCCTGGCTGAACAGGACTGACCCTCCAGCTTTCTACTGTGACTTCCGCTTAGAAGACAAGGATGTGTCCAAATCCCATCACAATAGTCAGGGAAGCTGCTCCTGGCAAAGGTGCTAGGAAGCCGAGAGGCAGCAAGGCAAAGCTGCACCTGCAGGAGAGGACTTCCTGTTAGCGGTGTCACGGGTCCTGCATGGCCCTCGCCTGTCCCTGAGAAACCTCCACCCTGAATGAGAATCCACCTCTCATCTCAGGATAACTCTGCATGGTTCTGTGCTGGATGATCAGTCTCAGGGCAGACAGGACGTCTCCAACGCCTTGGCAACCTGGATGCTACAATGATGGGAAGAAGAAATTCTGTCTCCATTGCTTGTATTGTACTGCACCTCACGGTTTGGAGGCTAATTTCATTAGTTCTGAGGTCACCCCTTTTTACCCCCAGCAGAGTGGAGAAAGCACTATTATCACATTAAACTCCAGGAAAGCTAGTTTCTCATTGTTTTTAGGGTTCTGCGACACTGCTTCTGAGCACTTCCAAGTAACAATCTGAAGATGACTTTGCAAACACTGGACAAAACACTCACCAAAAGCAAATCTCAAGGATAGCTATTAAATCACTGGAAAAAGGGCTAAACTTTCCCCAGGTGCTCGCCCATCCTGGGCTGAGGCTAGAAAGGTCCACACTGCCATGCTGTCTCCCACACCCCTCTCTTGCCCACCTTCCTTTCACACAAACCCAGCGGGAAACCACCAATGACAGCTTAGAGACTTGCAAACCAGCTGTCTTCTCCCAAAGCAGAGAGCCAGGCAAGCAGGAGAGCTCCCCGGGCGGCTGGATTCCAGTCTTTGAAAATGGCATTTGGATTCTGCCCTTTCCTATTTTAAGCTTAGAGGGGTGGCTTCTCCAAAGCCTTTTAAGAAAGACAGTTTTCACTGTCACCCAGGGCACAGGCTTGCCGGCCCTGCCTGTGCTTTCTATTTTTATTGTACTCTGGCCATACTGAGCTCTTCGTACCTCGAGGATGCCTTGCTCTTTGAGTTTTTTCTTTATTAAAATTTTTATTACATTTTTATGTATGTATTTGTGTGTGTGTGTGTGTGTGTGTGTGTGTGAGGACACACACGTTGAAGTCAGAGGAAAACTTGCAGGGTAAATTCCCTCCTTCTGCTCTGTGGGCTGAGGATGGAACGCAGGTCCTCAGGCTTGGCAGCAAGTTCCTATACCATTTTGATGGCCCAGGATGTCCCCCTGTCCTGCCCCCAGTTTTTCTTCCCTGTCTTGTTTTACTTCTTCTCCTAGGTCTGCTATTTGATGGGTGTAACCCTCCCCCCACTGAACTGGAAGGTCCTTGGTGGGGAACAGCTTATCTTTACCGCAGATTAGCCTCTATGATTCAGGCAGATGCCTAGTCATACAGGTAACCACTCCAAGGCCTTTGAGTCTCCAGAAAAGGAGAGCATGGATTTTGCAAAATTTCTCTTAAATGTGAATTGTGCATTTGCAGAGGAGCCCAGTACAGTTGTAGGAGGCTTGTTTGTCAGAGATTAGCAAAGTTTAGCTTACTGCAAAATGGACTCAAAGAAGGGATGTGTTATGGTCTGATGGCCTCCTCTATAAACTGTGCGGCCCTCTACAAACTGTGGGGTCCTTTACAGATGGCCTTGCTGTTTTCTTTAACTATTTATCTATCTATCTATCTATCTATCTATCTATCTATCTATCTATCTATCTATCTATTTATTTATTGTGTGTCTTTCATATCATGCATCCCAATCCCTCCCATTTTGTCCATCTCCTATCTCCATGCATCCACCCTTTGCCCCTGCAACCTCCCTCACCAAAATAAAATGAAATAAAATTTAAGATAAAAAAGGGGAAAAAAGAAAAAAAAAACAGATGGGAATAAAGAGAAAATCTAATCATGAAAGCTGCAGTGTGACACAGTGAGTCACACAGTAAACCCCCCCCCTTTTTTTTTTTTGATTTTCGAGACAGGGTTTCTCCGTAGCTTTTTGGTTCCTGTCCCGGAACTAGCTCTTGTAGACCAGGCTGGCCTCGAACTCACAGAGATCCGCCTGCCTCTGCCTCCCTAGTGCTGGGATTAAAGACGTGCGCCACCACTGCCCGGCTTACAGTAAACCCCTTTATCCATACATCTTTACATGCAGGCATTCATCATAAAGAATTATTGGTTTGGTTCAATGCTCCTGGTTCCCTGGTCTGCTATACTATGGACAGTGAACCCTTACTGGGACTCTTTTTGGACATCCCATTGCTGCCCTGCGTCATGGAGATTTGGGTCTGCAAGACCACCACCTCTACCTATGCTTCAGCAGATAACAGATGACGTGGATGTTGGGGTGGGCCAACACATAATCCTGGTTCTGGGCCTGAGTTTTACAGGGTTGGTCAGCCCACCAGCTCTTCTGGTGAAGTTGGTCTTCACCACCAGGGTGAGCTCTCCAGCATCGCCCTGGCTAGTCCACCCCTTGCAGCAATGAAGGAGGGGTGGGATCAGTTCTCCCACACCTACACCTTAAGGGCCAGCTCTACTGTGCTGCCCAGCGGAGGGGCCACTCACCTGAGTGCTGCCGTTGATGAGGGGCAGGGCCAGCTCTCCCGCCTCAGGGGGGCATCTCTTCCCTGCCCATGCCACCACATGGCAGGTAAGTAATGGGACAGCTCTCCCATCTGCCTCAGGCATTGGTGGGGAAAATCTCGCACCTACCCAAGCTGCCACATGGCACAGGAATAGCGGGGACAGCTCTCCCTTGCTCACAACTTTGGGGCTGGTTCACCTCCACCTTCACCTCCACCAACACGGTTGGTTCTATTGTGCTGCCCAGGCAAGGTGCAGAGGTGCAGAGCCTGTTCTCCTGAGTGTTGCGGCTGGTGGGGGGGGCAGGGACAGCTCTTCTGCTCTTATGACCACAGGGCCATCTCTTCCACCTGCCCCAGACACTGCTGGGGAGCAGGGGGAGATGTCCTTGGTTTTGCTCAGGTAGCACAAACAGTATTTTCTGTTTCACTAAGATAGCAAAGCTCAATACAGTCCCCCAAAATATGACAAGTATCTTTTTAAAACAAAAATAAGCAATGCACTTACCATAATAGGAGAAAAGCATTTAAAATATTTGCATATGTTTTAAGAATTCCGAAAATTATATTTGTCTGTTTGGAGTGAGAATAGGAAACTTATTAGAATATTTTCTGTAATATAAGTCAAAAATATCTGCAGATTGGAAATCTCTCTCCATGCATTGTAGTCACCGTCTCATAGGGACAATGAATTTTTAAAACAATAGCTAAATGCCTACTTCAAGTCAATGTACTTGGTATTAAATCCCCCACGTATTAAAATAGCTCTCTAGTCTGTTCTAGAATAGTACGCTAAGTGTTCTTAAACATATATTTTATTGCCATCAGGAAAGCACCGAAAATGTTTTCTTTTATATTCAAACTCCTTCCAAATAGGCCCCACTGCTAACCTCTGACAAACGAGCCTCCTATGAGCATGCTGGGCTCCTCTGCAAATGCACAGCTCACAATTAGAAGCAGTTTTGTAAAGTCTATGCTATTTTTCCCTGGAGACTCAGCTGCCTTGGAGTGGTTACCTGTGTGATTGGGGAATTCTCAGAAATGCTTATTATTTACTTGAATATCATTTCAGACTCACTGGCAGACAGAATGTCCCTCTAACCTGGGACTGTCCTCCAAAGGGCTTGAACAATATTCTGTGCCCTTTCCTAGGACCAGGACAAACAGAAGGTATCCGGGAGCATGGCCTCTTTGTCCAATGGCAGGGTGGGGCTATTCCCTAAACTGGTGGTGGGTCTAAATTACAGGCAGAGCAGACAGTGAACAATGGGACTGATTGTTTTGTTTTTATTTATTTTTTTTTATGATTTCAGTTCTGTCTTAGCTGGTTGCAGATCTCATTATCAGCTTTGCAGCTGTTTCTCTACCTTGATTTATTTTTATGTTTAGATCAGGAAGAGGAATGGAAAAATCGCAGCCTGGAGGTTTGCTTTGGAAAGTAAACTTTGAATTAGGCTGTTGTTGATTTACACCTGGCGTGCTATACTTAGCATGGAGGCAAAGCTAAGCACACCTTGTAGGTTGTTACTCCTGCTGGTACGATGACAGCTACAGACGCTGAGTGTAACCTGGAACAATAGCCTGCTCCAGAAATAGCGCGGCCCAAAGCAGAGTATTGGGTAAATAAATTCTGATGATGGTGGTGGAATTTCATCCAACGAGAGCCGTTGTCCCTCTGAAACCAGAGTCTTCTATTACCCAGGGAGTTAATATGGACCATAAAGCTTCACCCAAAACACAGTCCAACAGATAGGGCATATTAAAGTTCAAAGAGAAAGGAGAAAACCGCCTGAAATTGCCTTGAGGTATTTTGTAGGGTGCCTTGTTCAAATTCTTTTATTCTCTGGTCCCTTTATTTCAGGGCCTACTGCTCTGCTCCAT